ATTAGTATTTATCATTCGTACTATTGCATGATCCTTCGCCTTTACTGGTTTCATATATACATATATGTTTAAAACGACGTTTATGTTATTCTCTTTCTCCCTTGATCTTTTTATTTCGTTATCAGAAAGTAATAAAAATCACAAAGGCTTGTCTTCATCTAATTAAAAAAAGAAATATAAACATTCCTATGAAGAAAATATTGATAAGAATTTTTTTAACTGCTTAAAAAATAAATAAATAAAATTAACCATAAATAAATAAATAAATATAAATAAATAAATAAATAAATAAATAAAATAGAAAATAAAATAAAAATAGACGAATCTTTATCCTATACTATATAATAGACAAACAGGTATATTCTCATGTAATGCTTACGATTTGAAAATCTAACACCAAGCCTTGACGAATAATTAGGATCTGGAATATATGCGTCACCAATTGCTTCTTTCTTTTGTCCATTTCTGATTTTAAATGAGGAATCATATTATTGTACGTCCCTAGATTGAGACTTCGTTCATCATGCTTACAAGTCTTTTTAGGTACATGTATTGAATAGAAAGGCGTGCTTATGAAAGTATCCGTGGTTACAAAATGACAATAATAATGGAAAATAAACAGTAATTCGAAAAAGGTTATCACCGGTATTCATTCGCACAATAAGTTATGGTTATAGAACATAATTCCAACTTACTCATATCCTACATTATCGACTCGAATGTGCCCGTCTGATTTTAGCTGATAGTTTGCTGAGACACATTTTTGATTTCCCTCAAAGTTGGCTTTAAATTTATATATTTCATACCAAGTTCCAAGATACTGGAAATGAAAGTAGATTCAATGAAATAAAAGCAAATAATAGGAAGAGAGATATGTAGATTATACCTATATGTTCCTAACATTAATTTATATTATGACAGAACAGCTTTTATAAACAGTAACAGCAGTGAAACGGCAATACTCACCCTGCTCAAATCAAGATTTTCCTGGGTTTTCACCTGAGCACATTTACCAAAACCAAAGACTTGGGCCTGGGAAACACCAAAGAGTAGAATGGTTATAAAAAGCAAAGGTAGCATGATTTTCTTTTCTTTATAACTTACGATATCAATATACAAACTTGTACGGAAAAAAGGTGATATATATATACCCAGAGACACTTACATCACACAACTTGATGATACACGTGAAGTTTAGTCTTATATAAAAACAAGATAAGAGTAAAGTTTCGAAATTGTCCTCGTAAAGTTCAACCTCGGTACAATTGTTCTTAGTCTCTTAGTCTCAATAGGGAAAGTATAGCCAGTGACCTTGAATTTGCTTAAAAATCTTATTCAAGGTCGACACAATCAGGTCATCTGAAATCTTTGTGTGATTTATGAATTAGAAATGTTTCTTCATAAAATAAAAAAAGAAGAAATGGTTTGGACACAAATAATAAAACTTTTCTGTCAGTGATTTTAATTGTACTTGCCTAAATGACCTAGAATTAAGCTCGTGAAACACCTTCATATTATAACTAATATTTGTGCAGAGTATGCATGAGCTTTCTTTTTCTATTTCTGGGTTTGGTCAGGACAAGAATCACACATTTTTCTGTTATTTTTTTTACGGACTTTGATCTTGCCCATGTAACCTTAAATGACACACTTTCAGGTCACAAGTGTTCTTTGTGTATTAAATTAATCTACATACACTTGATAATATCAAACTTCACCATAATCATCATCAACTGAGAGAATTCTTTTGTGTCCACATAATGTTTGCCTGCTTGTCTCAAAACCCAATCTTCGATTGTTGGTTTATCAAAATACTACAAGAAACTATCTTTATACCTTACTTATTTTACATGATAAATATTTTAAACATGATCTAACTTATTTCTTCAGTAAATTATTAAATGGAATATAAAAGCAGAACCCGCAGAACAAAATCAAAATAGAAAAATTAGAAAAAGGAAAGAATCAATAATAATGGCACGTAAAATTGAATGATGGCGGGGGCTTATATACGGAAGCCGGTTTGTGCCACGTAGAAAAAAATATTTTATCTGGCGGCCGCCAGATAAATAGACGTGGTGGCCGCCAGAAGGTATCTGGCGGCCGCCAGTTATGTATGTGGTGGCCGCCAGATAATTATTTGGCGGCCGCCAGATAAAATATTATTCTACCTGGCACCTACCAGCTTCCGTACTTATACTCAGTTTTGATTTGAAAATTTATTCACTGTACATTCAAATCGACGCTACCGAGATGACAAAGGCCATGATATAATTCTGTACACGATTTTATATTTAAATTCAGGACCCTCTATACACTAAAGGAAAATATTTTTTTGACATTGAGAAAATTATAAGATGTTAAGGTGTAAATATTGAGCATATCTCGTACATTTTCAACATAGAATACATTGAAGTTATGGAAATTTTGGAAGATAAAATTTTCATTGAAAGGTTTATCCAAAAAAAAAAAAAAAAGAAGAAGTAGTACTTGTATTTGGCTATGGCTTTGGCAGACAATATGAATTTTAGCATTATATTTTGATCGCATTTGACTATAAGGTTCGTAACTCTGTGCATTTTTTTGTTCAAAACAAAAATTAGCAAACAAATATTTATTCTTCTGAGCCCAGATAATTGTGATTCTAATTAGAAAATTAATTCCTTGAGTCTCATAAATATTGGAAACTAAATTATTCAGATGCAATATAGAACATCCAAACTTAAGTTATATATGGAATTAAAACAAAGCGCGAGTTTTGTAAATGTAGATTTTTTTCCTCATAAGAGTATCATAAACATTTTCAAATAGAACATGCTTGGTTGATGTATATGACAAATTAATCAGAATATTCTTGAGAAAGACTGTTTTAACATATATCAGAAATACCTGAAACTTAAATCATAAATATACGGAATTATGGATCATATGAGAAGAAGTACAAGTGTTCTGATAAAAAAGGGTATTGACTTCACAGAAGAGATAAACTTAAGCGTCGTGTTACAAATAAAAGTGTCCCATTTCTTTCACATTTTTCTCGTTTTATGTGGATTTTTCTTGATAAATTACATTTTAAAATGAATTATATAGAAACATATCTGTCTAATTCATTTGACTAATCCGAACTTGTTTTTAATACACAATATATATATATATATATATATATATATATATATATATATATATATATATATATATATATATATATATATATATATATATATATATATATATATATATATATATATATATATATATATATATATATATATATACTATGCTTTAATTATTGTTATTAACATAAGGGAAGAAAGATGAAAAAATTTAACTTATCAGGTCAAGAAATATTAATTTATTAATTTTACTCAAAATAAAATCCAGTGTGTATACTTTGTGTCAATGAGTTTATTATTCGATGTAAAATTGCAGCAAGCAAAGAAAACATATTAAATTTATGTTTTAGCTGTAAAAAGGCAAGTATGCTGTTTAATATGTGAAAATGCCGATCGTAAATAAAATGAATAGAATAAAGTTTTGCCCACTTTTCTTCAAATTATTTTTCTCGTTTAAAATCTGCTATATCAAATACAGAGTGTGTTACTCTTCTTTCGGTATTTTACAGAAATAATTGAAATAACAAAGCTGTTTTTCTCTCTTAATACGGAATCTTCGGTAAGTTTCATGGTTTGCCAAAATCTTTACATTTTTACTTGTTTGTTTTTGATTTGATATGATAAATTACAATATCTGTATGGTATAATGCACAATGTATAGAATGACAAATCGTACGTTTATTTCGTGCAATCTGAAAAACAACATTCATAATACATGAATTGAATGGAAGCCTATTTACTTCATACAAATTCTTGTGTTTACCATTCAGAATGTTCAACATTCAGATTTAGGCCCTTTGATGAAACGGGGACTTGAAAAAACTTGAAAAACCTTTATCGTTATTAACTTTGTAAAATTCCTTCACATTCTGTTACAGACAGATTTAATTACTCTTGCGCTTTTCACTATTGCAGTAGAAATGTTATAAAACTGTAAGGAATACTATATATTTTGGAGTTTTTCTTTTAGGACGGGTGACTTCGAGGTATAGTATAGACAAAATATTTTGCTCGAAATTAAAAGAATGAGCCTCATCTATGCCACCTCTTATATTAAATCTAAGGTTGAAAATGTGTGTTAAAAAATTCTAATCGAACATAACTTTTTCATAAAAGCATTTGACACATCGACTTCCAGTTTGACCCAGACTGTTCGAATTCAATTTTTAAAAATGATTTTTGCCACCACTTTATATAATAATTGTATTTTTGAACCATTTAATTAATTTATTTTATCAATATTGAATTAAATAATTTCATTTAATTTAATTAAGAAAAGATAATTTTAACTGCATTTATTCAAAAACTGTGTTGTTTCAATGGAAAACAACCCAATTTGTCAACAATAAAGACAAGTACTCAGTAAGTAAAATTAATACTAGTAATGTACGAATCTGTCATTAGTTGATAAATAACACACCAAGAAAAATATCACACACATAAAGGCAATGCTTTTTAAAATAATTCATTTTTCTAGATTATAACCTCTTAATTCTGTTTGATTTACTAAGAAAGCAAAGTAGGGTGACAAAATATTTTCACCTTCTTACAACTTCAAAGTTCCAGTAATATTAACAATTTCTCCATATAAGCATTTTATTGTCTTTCTTGTCCCTAGCATTTGCAAGTCAGGATGTAATTTTTTTAAATTATTATTTTTGTGGATTTTTTAGCTTTAATTTTGACACCTTTTTATTTAGCGTAAAACTTTTCTTGTACAGTCACTGTGTCACTTATGTAACATTTCATTTTATCATAATTAATCAAACCCATTACTCTATTTTTTTAAACCACACACAAATATCACGACTATTTTCGTGTTATAAATATTTATTTGTAAAAAATATATAAAAAAATAAAAAAGGAAAAACATTTAAAAATATTGGTGACACTTAGCACCCTGTTTGATCTTCCTTTAAGAACTTTGATGTATCGATGCCGAAGGACTCGGCCTTGGCAAAAAGTCTGTTTTTCACGGATTCATCCAGTGTTCTTTCACGACTCAAGATCCAAGCATATGAAATATGGAAGATTCCCAGAATATCACTGCATGAGTAAATCATTGTATGAGTTGTGTAATCAGTATCTAGGACCCAGTATCTTCCGTATGGTGCCACTGATTAAAAAGATAAATATAATTTTTTTACCATTCGAAGATGTGGACTTCATGCATATATAATAACATTGCATCTTCTCTTTGTCTATACAAGTTCTGACATATACATGCATTTTATACTCTGATTACATGTATGTAATTATTCTTTTAACATGATCTTTATATTACAACTTAAAAAAATCAAAATCTTTTTTGTGTGTAAATAAAAGATCAAAATAACTATTTAAAACAATAATAACTTTCATAACATTTTACTTGCATTTAAAAACAAAATGAAAATTTCGATCCGGAGCTGAGATAGGTTATATAAATACTTACGATTAGAAAATCTAACGCCAAGTCTTGATGGATAATTTGGGTCTGGAATGTATCCATCACCAACTGCTTCTTTCTTTTGTCCATTTCTGATTTCAATAAACAGTCAGATCAGTGTATGTAGTCTTCATTCATCACGACAAGTATTAAATGTAATATAAAGTTAGCATCATTTATAGGCATCCAGAGTCGTATCTTTTAAAGTGACCATGAATTGCAAATGCAGGAGTTTGTGGAAGAATATAAATTCGTTTACTTATTTCTAAGATGAAGTTCAGATGGGTGTAAAACATTTAGAACTTACTCGTATCCTATATTATCTACTCGAATATGCCCGTCTGATTTTAGCTGATAGTTTGCTGAGACGCACTTTTGATTTCCCTCAAAATTGGCCTTAAACTTATATATTTCATACCAAGTTCCTAGATACTGCAAACGAAAGTAGGATCCGTATAACGAAGTGAATATTGAAAGGAAATGATATAAGTAGAGATATATTTACACAGTTACAAGGATCTTGACATTGTTTGAAAAGTTTGGCCAAATTGACTTTTATTACAATTAATAGCATTGAAAAAGTAAGTCTCACCCTGTTCAGATCTAGAGTTTCCTGTGTTTTCACCTGAGCACATTTACCAAAACCAAAGACTTGAGCCTGGGAAGCACCAAAGAGTAAAATAGATACAAAAAGTAGAGGAAGCATGATTTCGATGGTTCAACCTAAGATTTCAATATAAAATTTGTATGAAAAACGGAGATACATATATACCCTTAGAAAGTTACATCACACAAGTTGATGCCACACGTGATATTTAGTCTTATATAACCAAGATAAGCGTGAAATTCGGTAATTTGTTGTCCTCACTGAGTTCATACTATTGTTCCTTGTCTGATAGTCCAAGTGGTGAGGAGATTAGTTTTACAACAAACATTTAAGTTTGTCCCTTAGTACTCGTGTTCTTATGGAAGATCAAGTTCTGATAGGGCAAGAACATTGATCTACATAGGCAGAATATATTAACTTTATAAAGTGACAGAAAAGTGTTAATCAGAATGTCTTGTGGAAATACATATTTTTGTTTTAATTCATAGAATGAAAACTTACGTTGTTTGATATATTTAAGAAAACAGCTTATTAAATTCTTTTATAGTAACTGTTGTATATTTCTATATACATGTATAAAAAATAGTTTACATAATCGAGAGACTTCTTAAAAACCAATTCATCAAATATTGTACATCAACACTTTAAACAGGGTTAAAATAAGTAATAAGTGAAAATGGGAAAAGGTAGTGGATGCTACATGTATGTATTTGAAGAGTATTTATAATATTCATTATTATGTTGATTACCTAGTATAGTACTAGTTTCGGGTTGCGACACAACATTTCATCAACTGATAAGGTTCCATTGTCTTGGGCCTTAGAATGTAGTATACGATCTTGACATGATTTGACAATGTATTGCCAACAAATTTTAAAATGAAACAGGTTGTTCACTTTTCGTCAACAGACAACTTCCTCCAAGATGTTCCAATTGACCAAGCTTGATGGTCATAGGTCACATACTGTAAAAATCACTAATTTTTTCGTAGTTTGATAAAAAACCAATATTGGCTCATGGGTATTTGATTTCTTTGTGAAGAAGAAACATGATACATAGTTTGAAAGTTTAACATTTCCTTGAGGACATAAAGTTTTTAGGATCACAAAAAAAAAACAACGAAAATTGGAGATTTCATGGTGGTGTGCAAGACATGATTCAGACATTATTTCAGATGTATGGCCATAAAATTCTAATCTTAGTGACTTACATTTGGGTTGTGACCTCCCTCCATCCCCTAAATGCATCAATGGAAAAGGTGTGATGGTTGTAGCCTCGCAGTGTGCACAAAATGATCTGGATACAAAAAGCTTACAGAAGAATAGACGGACGGGAAAGCCCAGACCATACTATTACCCTTGAAAAGACGAGCGTATAAAATGTATCATTTGGTCTGTCATAGTAGATGTATTTTATATTTCGAGAATGACAATAAACGCTGATTTAGGAAAAAGACACTAGTAGTTGTACATATTGAAGTTATAATATAGCACTACATACAAATTTTATAACAAATTTCGTATTTACTGGTGGTAAATGATACCTTTCAAAATATAAAATATGACCCTTTCTAATGAAAACAAATCTTTTAAAGAGTTGAAAGTTCTTTATTCTTTATGTTGCTTCAATTTATTGAATACCAAATTTTTAATAATAAGTAAGCAATTTTCAGAAACTTTAACAGTGAAGTTTACAATCTCATAACATTCAAATTTTTGTGATACATTTGTGGCCATACCATGCTCTTTTTAAGTTAAACTTTAACCAAATACTGCTGAGTACATATATAAAACACTCATTTGATCACACTGCATCAGAATGACCAAATAAATATATCATAATATATAATATATCCAGATTGGAACAAAAAATATCCATGGGAATTTTAAGCTGTCATTCACCCACCTTCTTGGATTTCTTGGAATTTTTTGGTTTCACTTGATATTGCGCTACTTTTTACACCTGTCTTTGTTAAACAACGCCTCGCAGGCAACTTCCTTCAGAGCTATCTTTTCCATATAAAAAATTCAACAAATTAAACATTAGAATAACAAAGAAAAAAAATGTTCAACACCATGTAGACACATTAACGTCTTTTGTTTTTTGACAATGTTTTCACCTCAAGCCTATTCATTGTTTTATCAAATAAATATCGATATTCCTCTCATTTAATGACATTAAAATTTTCTACAGACATCTTGTAATGCTTGATTTTGACGCTCGTCTTTTTGAACCCAACGTGTTATAAGTAAAGAAAAGCCCGCTTTCTGGTGAGAAAGAAATGCTATAATGAACGTTTTTTTGGATGAAACAATCTTGTTAAACATGGTAAAGGTACAATGACCAACTTTAAAAACAGCTTTAAAACTCATGTCAACATAGATGCGTTTCCTTAGACATGGTTTTAACGATTTCCACTGAAGATCCTTTTCCGTCTCAAAGCCACCATGACACATCAGTAGACAATAAAACTATATAGGTGGCGCTGATCGAATTCGGACCTGCTCATAAGCGTTGTCCAAACGTAAGAGGACGGTTATGGCAACCTTAAGCGACAGAATGAAGAAATGGAAGGTATCAGATGAACGATCTATTTTGAATCCCTAAAACTTCATCATTTCTTGAAACATAAAAGCTACAGCTTTTTTATTTGTGCAGTCAATACCATAAAAATAAATTTTAAAACCAAATTTTGGGTTTCAGTAAATGCTATTTATGTTAACTCTTTCATTAATTTTTTTATTGTGTTGGAATGTTTTTAGGTACAACTTCTGTTATCTGCTATTTTCGCTTTGGTTTCCGTAGCCAATGGAATGATTCATAATATGGCAATTCCACAAGGACTAGACGAATGCTTTACTAGATATGCACAAAAGACCAGCATCCGACATACTGTTGGTCAGTCTATCAACTGGATCTGTGTACACCAGTATATGTGGCAACAAAATGGAATGCATAAATGGCTAAATTATAACGTCACGTCTAATACAAATATGTGGTATAGCCGTCTGCTGGTGTTCCCAAATCGGAGAACACTAACAAATTCTAGAGCGACAAAAGTGAGGAAGGAAATTCGAATGTTGTCAGACATGGAGAGACAAAAATTTCTGAAGGCAATTCAAATGTTGAAAGCAGATAAGGTTAGTAATCACATTGATCAATTCCAGTATACTAATTAAAAATGTTTGAAAAAACTTCGGTGTGTTTAAGGAACACTACTGACGCCTTCTGGTACCCCACTGTAATATCGAAATTACAAAATTCGGCAAGGGTGTGGAATTTTCAAAGGAATCACTATCATTTTACTTAAGAAATGTACAATTTCTTCATGCATTTCCCTTTGCTGATGAACAATTCTGATAGATGAGAAAATATTTTAGAACAGTAATGTAACTTTACACCAAAATTAATTTAAATCTGCAGCAGTAAATTAATTTCAATCTACCTACATTAATATATTTCACTTACATGATCTCCCCAGATACAAGGAAATCAAACATACGAATTGAGAGATCGGCTTATACAAATTGATCTCTACATATTGAATTACTGCTGCATATTTTTTTGTCAAAAAAGCAAGATTTTGAATGGATCATTAAAAAAAACTCCATGCAATTTTTGCATTATACTAATATATACCTTATAATGAAGCTTCGTGATATTCGGGTTTGATGTAAATGAGTTCTAGGCTTTTTTTTTGTGAAAGTCTCCTACAAATTGCTAGACAGACAGACACCGGTAAAAGTGATTTTTATGTGTCTGCCTTGCAGATGAAACAAGAGGCAAGATTGGGGTTTCAATCGATTTTAAAATTATTAAAAACTGGTTCAATGTCGAAATCTATTTATAAAGCATATTCTATCATTTTTATAGAGCATATATCCAAATAAATATGACGCACTGGCTGCTTTACATCAAGGCATAACGGAAACAGCTGCCCATGGAGGACCCAACTTTCTGGGATGGCATAGAGTTTTCTTGATCATGTAAAGTATTTTCCCCTCTTATATATGATCTTTAACTTTAGATAATATCACATCCACTGAATGTTTCTCCTTTATTTCTTATGAAAACCACTTTTCTTAATCAATCCGTTAACGCTAAACTAGTTAGAACCGATTTCTTAAGCAGTGGGCTCTTCCATCAAGAAACATACCATGACGTACAGATCAATAATCTCGTACAATATTTTACCTACTTAAATATATGTTATGCGATTTAATATAAACAATAAAACGTCTTTCTTCGTTTTTAATGCGTGAAATAACGGTTGCAACCATTGCAGAAAAATACATTACCTGCTTACATGGGTTATTAAGTTTTTGTGCAATACTTGCAACCGTTGATTCTCGCATTAACAAACAAAAAAGAATTTTATTGTTTGTATATATATATATTTTTTTAACGATTTTTACATTGCATTTCTATTAATAATTCAAAGGTTTGAGAATGCGATGCGAGAAAAGATCCCAGATGCGACACTACCATACTGGGATTCAACTCTTGATGATCCAATGGCAAATCCTGTTGCATCAGTAATTTGGAGTGGACGTTTCCTTGGTAATGGAAATGGACTTGTAAGCACTGGTCCATTTGCTGATTGGTCAACCCCTGTAGGTCCTTTAATTCGAAACTTAGCTAATACAGGACAGTTATTCAACAGGCGAGTCATTCAAAACATTCTGACAAGGAAAAGAATAGGTGAAATAACCGAGCCTCATGCTTACACTCAGTTCAACCTTGAATTTCATCATGGAGAGGTACATATGTGGGTAGACGGACAAATGGGAGAGCTGACCACCGCTGCCATGGATCCTGTGTTCTTCCTTCATCACGCTTATATCGATTACATTTGGGAGAAGTTTAGGGCACAGCAGAGAAGAAACGGTATCGACCCTACCCGTGACTACCCTTCTGTAGTTAACCATACTTTACATTTACCGACGGCCATGTTGGGACTTGGTACTTTTAGAAACATTGACAGTTTTAGTGAATACATCGTGAATGGAATATATAGATATGACGAATCTCCGTCATGTTCAGCATTTAATCGTAACTGTGGTTCTCCATATCTTCAGTGTATTAATAAACAAAATGAGTGGATATGTGTATCTGTTGATCAAGCCCATATGCCTCCTCTACAACATCATGCAATATTTGCTAATAATATGCAAATGCAACAACAACAACACCAACAACAAAGGACTTTCCAACAACAGTTGGTAGAGTTAAGTAGATTAAGAATTCCAAATATGAATATTAACATACATACAGTTGGACCTAACACAATGCCAAATGCACATCCAGCAGTGGTTTCTCATCTGGGTCGTAACATTCTAATGTCTGTTCGAAGAGATAGAGCCAAGCCAATGGGATTCGAAGTTTTTCAGATGCCATCTCAGTCTCGACCACAACATGCAAATTTCCAGCACATGAATGCAAATATTCCTAGAATACGTGGTACAGGGTCAGATGTGAACAGAATGATACAAGGAATGAGCCAGAATAGAATTCAAAATTCCATGCCAGCACCATCTCCTTCTCCAGTTACATCTTCTCAAGAAACCTGTCCAGTAATTCCTGTGAACCGACCTTATCAAAATACATTTAATATAAACGGTATTAGCGACATGAGGCAGTGGGTCTACCTACCAGTAGATGTAGTTTACAAGCGTCCCCCAGATTACGAAAGATACAACGCTTTCCCTGTAATTAGTGGACGACCATTAACAAAGACAGACATTTATGAACCAGAGGCATATGCTACTTTGAGAACACCCCTCAACACTGGTCGTCCAGCTTCCTATGCATCTTGTAACACTGGCCAGTTTGGAGCTGGTGCAGTTTTTATTCAGTCTAATGGTATTAACTATGTTGGAAATTATAAAGAATATGCAATTGTTGATCACCGTCTAGCCATTTCTAGTTCAACGGCATTTGTTGCCATTAAAAATCCAGGCTATGGAGCCACAGATGTGATGCTTTCTGCTTACGATTCCTGTGGTAGAATTTGTCGGCCATATTGTAAAATCCCCACATCCCAAACCGGCGAATCACAACCTTGTTCTGGATTGTTGCGCGTCACTTCTACGTACCCAAAACTCTATGCAAATGACTATGGAGAAGCTGTTTACAAAACCTGGAGTCTTGGTAAAAGCTGTCCCAGAAAGGACAGTAGACAGGTATACATGACCTTCTACTGCGATTATGAGGAGGACTGGCCGATGCCTGGTGTGGTTCCTGTCGTTGTACCGACCCCTCCACCTATACCTATTCTTCTGATACCAAGAGCAGTAAATACACAGCCACCTTCTGGTGACGCAAGTAAGTTATTTCGCCTAGCAAACGAGATGTAGTCTTTATTATCTTGAATATTAATCAATAACTATAATTTTGACAAAAAGCAGTGATTTTCAGTTTCATTAATACAAATTAGTGTACATTATTTATTATTCATTATTATAGTCCAATAATTGAAATGAATCATTATTAGATCTCTGCTCTTGCCATCAGTTCCTTTTTTACATACGTTTACAAGCCAGTGAAAAGTGTTTTTCCTATAGCCTCTCATTTAAAAATCAAACATAACTCTACTAATTTTCAGTATACATCTTTGCCTAAATGTAAACTCTCTTTTTTTTTCCCATTTACAGCTTGTGATATAGGTGATGGTTGCATTTTACCTGGAGAATGCGGTTTCTGTTTTGTTGGAACTGTTCAAAAATGTCAAAATAGCTGTGACCAGTATGCAGTATGTGTTTATGGACAATACGTGGCGGACAGATGTAAGGCGGGAACAATGTATGACGTCACTACACACCGGTGTATTCCTGGGTCGTGTTCAGAGGAAATAGAGCCCACGGCAGCTAGCGCTGATTAAAATGCTTGTCACCCCCAAGGTGTTTTAATTAATACACCTAGGTTAGGTCAAACGTTATAATGTTGCCCATTATACATGCAAACTCTTGTGCATTCAAAAATACATTGTTCTGTTTGGAAGTATATTTGTTAGTGTTTCTTGGCCCGGTTTTCTTTTTTACTACATTCTTTAACGCGTGTATTGAATACTAGTATATAATTTTCACAAATGTATGGCACATCCTTATTTAATTTAAGACTATATATCCTTATTTAGCTACAAATCCGGGTTTGATATGCAAATGAAATCCTGTAAACAAATGTGATGCGAAAAATTGGAAAACCCCAGATTTATGATGGTTCGAAAAACATCATGAAAATTCTTTTTACAATGCAACACCATTGCGTTCTTAATCGTATCACGTTAGAGAAACATTTGTTACGGGCGTTTTCCAGCATTAAATTTCGGCCGAATCTAGATCTGACAATTCGGAATTCAAAATCTCTTCACAAATATTGAAGAAAAGTCTTTGTCAACAGAATAACTTCCCACAACATGTAAGCTTAACAACATAATTGCCACTAAACAAGAATCTATGAAAAAAAGATCTAAAGGGTCAAATCAACAAAATGTGAAACATCATGTTCAGGGAATTTTTACTTTAGAGTCATCACGTTATCCTGATACCTTGAAATAAAACACGTGAAGTACAAAGAAATGAGTCACGTCCGCTGTTAACAGGTAGTCATGGTGTTCTGGGCTGCATGGTCCTTTAGTCTAAATTTTAAAGATAATTCAAAATCAAGTGTATTTTGGTAATGAATAAATATAATTAGTATTAAGCCAAATATTAAAAGCTTTTTCTTGATATGTATTTTAAAACCTTTAAAAAAAACTTCTTATAAGGCGAAAATTTAAGTGAGAATTTTTTTTTATTAGTTTTCCAAATAGGATACATGTATGACCGGGACGTAGTCTAACACTTTGAGTAGTAATGTAAACTGTAAGAGACACTAAAATGAATATATTGTAGAGATGTTGATTGTTCATTTGATTATAAATTAATATAATTCTGAAAGTTTCTGATATATATAACTTTTCATATTCTTTACACAGTAAAGGATCTTAAAATTTTTGACTTCAAATCGTGAGATTTCTGTTTACTCATCGGAAAAATGAAATGATTACGTTTCTAACTCAAGAGTAGTCTTTAATAAATGTAAAATCCTTAACATTTGAAAAGAAGAGGAATTGCAAGAGCGCCAATACAATCTGTTAAGTTATTTCTGATTGTTTACTTAATATGTAACATGTTGAGAACATTGAGATGGAAGTATTCATTCAAATTTATCCTTCATAACTTAATGGTTCTACAAAAACACATATATATTTGTAGGAAGTGGAACAAAATATCTTCCAACTACAAAACGTCCTTTTTCTCGAAAATATTCTTTTATTCATCAATGGGTGTATCTTTCCAGCAATCGTGTAAACTTTTGGTGAAAATGTCAAATAATTAAAATGATCGATTACTAAAAAACACTGGAAGGCGTGATAATTTTCTTGTGAGATGTCGCACTTTATTTAATATATTCATTTTACAATTAAACTTTTTTACCCCCACATTTTAAAGACTAATTAAAAACAATGTGATTGATTGTTTTGAAAACAATTATCTCATTGGCAGGTTACTGAGAAATGTTTTCGAAACAATGCAGCGGAGCATTATATTCCCTTTCTCTGAAAAATAAAAACCAATCCGAATCTATGCATTGCATTTAAAATATATTGACATTTAATGCTGCAATGAATAGAAATAAAACGTCCAGTGGTTAAAGTCCGAAATTTATCATTTCTTTACCGATTTAAATAAAAATCGAATCAAAATCAAACACTGACTAATCACTTATTTGAATAATGTGAAAATATCTGCAGTATATAGCATAATACAGAGAGTATCAACTGGTATGAAATATATATGTCCAAAAATTATCCACTCATCCGAATTTCAGGTGTTGTTAAAAAAAAAAGAAAGTTTAATTTCAAATTTCTGAACTGACACGAAATGTAATTTTATTGCGTGTCAGGTCAAACCACTTTATCCCAGACTATTTTAATTCTTGGATTTATATGCAGTTATAATAAATAAAAACTCATCCTTGTGAGCTTGAGATAAAAGATACCACAGAGTCTGACACATTTGTTTCATATTTGGATATTTTACTTGAAAAAGACGTTAATGGTAATCTAACAACAAAGCTTTATGATAAACGTGATGACTTTAACTTTTCAATCGTCAACTTCCCTTACTTGTGCAGCAATATACCTTCATCACCTGCATACGGGGTATATATATCTCTCAGTTGATTCGATATGCAAGAGCATGCTCTACGTATGTACAATTTCTAAAACGAGGTAAATTATTGACAAACAAGTTGATGAAACAAGAATATCAGCTGTCTCGTTTAAAGTCATCATTTCGTAAGTTCTATGGTCGATACAATGACCTTGTCAGCAAATACAATTTATCATTGAGTCAAATGCTGACTGACGTTTTTCATACAAATTGTTAGGCCATTATTTACACACTGAATTGTCGACGGATTTTCCCGTTATTCCCCGATCATGACAAGGAGCACACGACGGGTGTGACCGGTCGGCAGGGGATGCTCACACCTCCATGGCACCTGATCCCACCTCTGATGTTTGGAGGTCCGTGTTTGCTCTGCTCCTATTTTGTATTGTTTGATGGACTTTTGAGCCTGAATATTGTTCGTTATCTTCATATATTTCATAATAACTATACATTTAAATTTGGAATTTAATTCTGAAATCGACCTTGACAGATCAGCCGGTTATACTTGACATTGTGACATTGGGGTGCATAATTATAGATTTATTATTATAATTTGATTTATTACTAAGAGTTATTTTTAATTAACACTAAGTATCTAATTTTTATCATTGAGAATGAATTTCTCTACATACATGAAACCTTTAATTTAACTTTTCACATCATCATCTTGCCATATCAATCAGCATAAATTTGTGTCACTAATTAAAATCGTGGATCGAAGTTATAAAGAAAAAAAGGTCATGGTTGAGAACTCTTTATCTCTACTGTAAAGGAAACAGTGCAGGAATAAAGCTGAACTTGCATGGACTTGACACGCTACATATACTGAATATTGTATCGTGATGTTTTATTTGTTTTGTTTTTTTTTTTAAATAATTGAAAACAAACCAAACATAGGAGGAATAGCACTTAGAAAGATATTCACAGAATATAATTTTTAACATGATACAACCATTCATCAAAATCTTAAACAAAGAATGAGAATTATGGCCCTCGATATAGTCCACTTCTGTACCAAGTTTATCAACTCGGACCAAAACTTTAGAAATTAAATACTGAGATAACGAACAGTAATCGAGCTCAAAAATCCATTGAAACTATACAAATCGAGAGCAGAGCAAACACGGACCTCTAAAAACATCAGAGGTCGGATCAGGTGCCATGGAGGAGTAAGAATCCCCTGTCGACCGGTCACACCCGCCGTGTGCTCATTGTCACGATCGGGCAAACGAAAAAATCCGTAGACAATTCAGTGTGTAAATAATGGCCTAACAATAAGTATGAAAAAGTCCGATAGAACTCGACTTCATGGTAGATTGTATATGCTGACAAGGTCATTGTATCGATCATAGAAGTTGCAAAATGATGACTTTAAACGAGACTGTTGATATCCTTGCTTCATCCACATGATTGTCGTGGAGCATGCTCTTGCGTATCAAATGAACTGGGAGATATAAACCCCATATGCAGGTGATAAGGGTATATTACTACATAAGTAAGGAAGTTGACGATAAAAAAGTTAATGTCACCAGGTTTATCATAAACTTTGTTGTTAGGTTACCATAAACGTTTTTTCCTAGTAAAATGTCCAAATATGAATCAGATGTGGCAGACTCTTTGGTATCTTTTATTTCAAGTTCACTGGGATATATCGAGTCGACATATGAATAGAAGTAACTGTCGTTATTTGATAATCGTCGATATGCATGTATCTAAATGTCGAGTTGAAGGCCACAGCAAGTGTCTTCTTCTCAGGTATAAGTTTTTAAATAAATTCTGCTTCACATGAATACAAAAATAGGTCTGCTAATAATGGGGCGCAATTGGTATCAACGAAAATTCTGACAGATTGTTGGAAGACCTGATCTCCAAAAACTACATAAATATTATCAATCAGAAACAGCATCTATTTAATATCGACTGCAGAGTACTTGTGTTTACAATAAGAATGTTTTTTAACAAAATAATTTTGCAAATGACCAATGACAAGGTAAGAAAATTTATGAGTTCCAGTTTTATTGAAAAAATCAGCTGTCTATGATATCACTATGACTTTGATATATCGTGGGGAATGGTTGTAAAAAGTGTTGAAAAGTCTCGCTAAACATTTCACTTATACGATATCAACTTCAGAGTACTTGTTTGTAGAATCAGAAAAATGATATGGAAAATTGAAAATCGATTTATGTACGTGTTTAAAAATTGTATACATGTATGCCCTGTATTCGTGTGCCAGGGATCATTCAGTTCAGAGGGGGAGTTTTTTTAAGGAATTAAAAAGAAATTCAGAAAAATACAAAATTATGCATTGTACAGTCTACTCGTGTACCAAATCTAATCGATATCGGACTAAAACTGTAGGAGCTGTAATTTACTGAAAGAATTTCTCAGAAATATTTTTTGTTATCGTATGTATGTATGCTACATGTACATCATTCATTAAATCAAAAATAAGTACACAGAATTATGTATCTTTGGTGTTGCAAATCTCATTGTGTACCAAAAATTTGTTGAGAATACATGTATGCAAGTCTGCCTAAGGGAATCTAGAGACTGCAAGTGCAGTTCTAGAAATCATTAGCAGATGTATCAAGTGACCAACAAGGTGTATGAGAATACCAAAGTCTTGTTCTGCAGATAGGATGAAGAAGACTGATAAACCATAGAAAAGTTTAGTCGGGTGGATGGCCTAACATTGAGGCTTACCATGATGTAGCAATACTAGCTGGATTACAATGTACCTATCACTGTAGGCTTGCCACGAATAAATTGTATTGCGTTATT